AAAGTGCTTAGGGAGGTTAGTCACTATATCCAAATATATCCTACCCGTCCTTTAGCCTACATTACAACCAAATAAAGTCCTATTGATCTTAGATTGAGTGAAGCTCGATTAGCAGAGTACTACACTAAGGGCAAGCCTATGGTGCATCTGTGTGGCATGTGAATGTTTTTTTCGAGAGCGAGCGAATTTTCTTTCTATCTTAGTTCCTAGTTGTCCTAAATATCATTGTGCGTGGAACTACTCTCTTGTGTGATGTGAGGACATGTGATTCATAACGGAAAGGTAAGTCTTGACTCTTTTATAGAGTGGCTTGAGTAAGGGTGAATGTGCATGGTACTACAGGTTTGATTCGTGAGGAAAGGTTGCGCACTACTAGTTGCACATTTTGTGAAATGTTCATGGTGTGAGTCATCAAGGGTAAAGTGTAGAAAAGAAACTTTGTGGGATGTAGTGGATTGCTCGAGGACTAGCAATGAATTAAGTGTGGGGTGTTGATAAAAGGCTAAATTGTATAGTTTGGTCTACATTTGGGCTCTAACTTAAGGATGTTTTACTATTGTAAGTGTATAAATAATGCAAAAATTAGCTCTAATGGTGACTTTGATGTTTCACAGGAGTTCAATAATTAAATGAAGGCTTATGATGGTAATCCGGGCGGAAATTGGAGTGAAGGGACGAAAATTGGAGCAAAGCACCAAACCAGTGGAAAACCCCACTAGCGGGGGCATTAGCGCGGCCTTAGCGCGCCCACGCTAGTCCAGCAGTCCAAAACAGAAGGAAACCTCACTAGCGCGGGCACTAGCGCGGCCTTAGCGCGCCCGCGCTAGTCCAGTGGCGAAAAAAGACTTTTAAAAGGGGCAATTTCGGAAGTCCAAGGAAATCCACGCAAACTATAAAAGGTTCAACAAGCCCAATAGAAAGTAGTTCGAGTTTTTGGAGAAGAAGCAAGAGAGGCGAGGAGGCAACTTGGAAAACAATTTTTATTCTCCATATTTTATTCTTCTATTAATGACTATGAATTCTTTTGTAGTTTTTATCGTTGTCATGAATAGCTAAATACTTTAATCTAAGGTTTTGGTGAAACCCGTTGGGGATGACTTGGTTGTTAAATTAATATAGTTGTGAATTGGTTTTAATCTCTATTTGTTCATCTATGTTTTGATTGTGGTTAATTGAAAGGGCCCTCAATTATCCGTCCCTAGTTAGTATGTATCTGCTTGAGAGAGAGTGCATATTTAGGTAGCTGTTTGAACAACATCACTCCCGGAGTATAGACGAGAGTCATAACCGAGGGTTTAGAGGTTGGTTTAGAGATAACAATACCTCGGGTGCAATCTAAGTGAACTGTATTGAGAATCTAGCTAGCGTAGCTTGAGAGAGTGCGTCTAGTAAATTATCATAATTGCTTGAGAAANAGGTGCCACTACTCTTACGTTGGGGTTTGCTGGCGGATCCCCAACGTTTCCAATGACGTTGTCTGCGTCACCCATGTCAAATTCGAGCTGGTGTGATTGTTGGGATTGTTGAAGTCTTTTGTTGGCACGGTTCAATGCCCTGAATGTTTTCTCGGGATCTGAGAGTCCTTCTAGCAGTTCTCCAGTCCTCGAAGAACTTCTAGGCATACACCTGATTTCCACAAGAGTTCAAACGTTAGAATTTCAATGAATAGATTGGGTATAGAGAAAACTGACTACACTAAGAATTTTTGTACTTCTTTCAATTGTAATTGATAACACCGTTAATTCCCCGGCAACGGCGCCAAAAATTTTATAACGCCAAACTATGCCTTATAAAAAGACACACAGACGTTGCCAATATAATCTGAGTAATTCTGCCCAGAGTCGAACCACAGGGAATTAACCTACCAATTACTTTTGTCGGACTTACTAAATTCACAGAATCAATTTCCCCAAAATTTGCAATTAACACTTGATGATCTTTCTACAACTAAAACTGGAAACAAATAAACAGCTGAAAATTAACTATGCTTGATGTGTAAAAAATTGGAATAAGGTCTAAGGTAATGGTTTCCCCCGTTGTTGATTTCCTTGGTTGTATATGTCTTATAACTGTGACTTAGTTATCTCTATCAATCATGAACTCTGCATCTACCATAAATCTTTCTCAAGCAATTATGATAATTTACTAGATGCACTCTCTCAAGCTACGCTAGCTAGATTCTCAATACAGTTCACTTAGATTGCACCCGAGGTATCGTTATCTCTAAAACAACCTCTAAACCCTCGGTTATGACTCTCGTCTATACTCCGGGAGTGATGTTGTTCAAACAGATACCTAAATATGCACTCTCTCTCAAGCAGATACATACTAAATAGGGACGGATAATTGAGTGCCCTTTCAATTAACCACAATCAAAACATAGATGAACAAATAGAGATTAAAACCAATTCACAACCATATTAATTTAACAACCAAGTCATCCCCAACGGGTTTCACCAAAACCTTAGATTAAAGTATTTAGCTACTCATGACAACGATAAAAACTACAAAAGAATTCATAGTCATTGATAGAAGAATAAAATAGGGAGAATAAAAATTGTTTTTCCAAGTTGCCTCCTTGCCTCTCTTGCTTCTTCTCCAAAAACTGGAACTCCTTTCTATTGGGCTTGTTGAACCTTTTATAGTTTGTGTGGATTTCCTTGGACTTCCGAAATTGCCCCTTTTAAAAGTCTTTTTCCGCCACTGGACTAGCGCGGGCGCGCTAAGGCCGCGCTAGTGCCCGCGCTAGTGAGGTTTCCTTCTGTTTTGGACTGCTGGACTAGCGCGGGCGTGCTAAGGCCGCGCTAATGCCCGCGCTAGTGAGGTTTTCCACTGGTTTGGTGCTTTGCTCCAATTTTCGTCCCTTCACTTCAATTTTCGCCCGGATTACCATCATAAGCCTTCATTTAATTATTGAACTCCTATGAAACATCAAAGTCACCATTAGAGCCAATTTTTGCATTATTTATACACTTACAATAGTAAAACATCCTTAAGTTAGAGCCCAAACGTAGACCAAACTATACAATTTAGCCTTTTATCACCACGTCACTATCCTTTCAGGCTATAACCAATTAACGTAAGTCCAAATTCCAACATAAAACATTATTAAAATCAAACACATGATTGGCCATTTCTTGAATTCTATTTTATCCAAAGAGTAAAACTAACTGTTATTGAAATTAATAACCTACTACAACATGTAAAAAAATTACTTTGTTAGTGTATATATAGGTTAAATTCTTTTTTAAATACCCCGAGGTCGTAAGTTTAGCTCTCAATTTGTCCCTTCAATCACACTTTTAAAAAAAATCATGTGTATTTCATATTCTAGTCCTTCTAGTGGAATTCAATGTTACATTCAAAGGTATAAAATATCCAAATATGTCGTAATCTCATAAATATTTTAGAGACTTTTTCCTTCCTATACCATATATGAAACCTTATTACCAAAAATGTGCATAGTTTCATATTTACCCGCCATGTTCACAGTTATTCTACAAAATATATACCATTCATTAAATACCAATTATTAGGAGCTGATTCCTTCCTAATTAGGCGCGCTACAAATCTGGAACTAAATATTTTTCCAGATATTCCTATTTAGGCGCGCTACAATTATGGAAGTAAATATTCCAGATATTTTCCACCATTAACAGCCATTAAAAAGCTTGAAAGCTTTGAATTCAAATTTGGATTTTTAAAAATCATCATTTGTTTGGATTGGTGTTGTTGAAAATAATCGGGAAAATGGTTTGGAGTTATATCTCAATTTTGAGGGGTTTTGGTGAAGATTAGACTTGGTTTTGACTGAATTTCAGATTGAAACTCGAAGAAGAAGAAGAAGAAGAAGAAGAAGAAGAAGAAGACATATTGCAGAAATTGTAGATAAATTGTAGATTATTTGTATTCTGATTGTAGATGCTTTATTTTCTGTTTTCACAAATAAAAAACGGCTAAAACTTCTACAAATCTTCTGAAAAAACGCAATTATGTCAAAAATCACAATTATGCTACAATTGAATGGGAATTGGGATATAAAAATTCAATGTACCCAGTTTGTAGATATTTTGTAGATAAATTGTAGATTATTTGTATTCTAATTGTAGATGCTTTGTTTTCTGTTTTCACAAATCAAAAACGACTAAAACTTCTACAAATCTTCTGCAAAAAACGCAATTATGTCGAAAATCCCAATTAAACTACAATCGAATGGGAATTGGGATATTAAAATTCAATATACCCAGTTTGTAGATATTTTGTAGATGAATTGTAGATTATTTGTATTCTGATTGTAAATGCATTGTTTTCTGTTTTCACAAATCCAAAACGACTAAAACTTCTACAAAATCTTCTGAAAAAACGCAATTATTGTGATAAAAATAAGAAATATTGCAATAGATTATAGCATTTGATATTGTTTGAGAATTGGGACTATGAAATTGATGGCATATGTCGTGTATGCACGTGCCTTACAGCTACAGAAAGAAGAGGAAGAACGAAGTAAACAACAGAAAGCCAAAGCTATTGCTAAATTGGAGGAATTGAATCGCCGTATGCAGGCAGGTGATGCTTTGTCTCAGAAGGCTATAAAGGATTCGTCACCTAATGTTCTGATATACATAAACGTGGGTGAGGGTGAGGGTGAGGGTGAGGGTGAGGGAGAGAGAAACGTAGGAGGGGTAGGATATACGGTACCTTGAATTAAGGAGGGATATACGCTGCATTAATTGTACCCTTAAAATACACTATGGTATAGAATTGGTAATTTGGTATACTAAGTGTAATTAAGTCAAACCTTAAACATTGAGGGTAATAAGATTTCCTATGTGGCATAGGAATGTAAAAATTCCAATATTTTACATGAATAAAACAAGTATTGTCAAACTTTTCATTTCTTTTGGGGGGTCAAATGACTACATTAATTTAAATTAGGGACCAACAGTGATCAACATTGCATGATCCGCTTAGCAAAGACAGATAAGAGTTACATCGACGGAGTCGGTTCCCGGGAGTACCCTCAGAAAAAGGAACCTTTCCTCTCCCTAGCCATTTCGGGTTAAGAAGATGTGAAAGTACGTTTAAGAAGGGTGCGTTCCGAGGTGTGAAGTGGGAGAGAAGGGATGTCACAATTGGGGTTTTGAGTAAAACGACCTTTTGATTGTTCATTTTTTTTTTCGTTTTCATATTGAAAAGTAATAAGAGTGAGAGGTGTTAAGCTTTTTATCATCCTGGCGTCGAACTATTTTTCAGCGACTAATTTAAATTAGGGACCAATAAGTGTTTTATTTTTCTCAAAGAACATATAACCCTGGCAGAAATATCAATTTATGCAGAAGATGCAAAAGACATCAGTAATGGTGGAAAAGATTAATGTTATAAGCGTTCTAGTATTTCACGAACGTATACAGCATCTTGTGAACGTACGTCTTTCTCGGAGTCACAATTGTCGATGGGAAATTTGGATGATTGACAGCGTCCGGGAATCCTTGAGTCTCCAAACACAAAGCTGCATGAGGCTGATATACATATCCACCTTTCCCCTTTTTATTAATGACAAAATTTGCAGTGTAGAATTGAACACCAGGTGCAGATGCTTGTACAAGCATCACTCTTCCTGACTTCTTATCATATACTATTGCCACGGGCTTCATTTTCTTACTGCTGTCAAGTACATAGTTGATGTCATATCCATTTTGGTGTTTGTTGATCATCTGGCTCCCCACTTTACGAGGTTTCAGGAAGTCGTATGGTGTGTTCTTGACAGGGGTGATTTCGCCTGTAGGAATGAGATGTCCGTCTACTGGTGTGATGTGTGATGCAAAGATTTGAATAACGTTGGACAAGATATCGCCACTGTTGTGTCCACCAATGTTCCAATAAGTGTGTTGAGCCAAGTTAACAGGGGTGGCCTTGTTCCGAGCTTTTGCCTTCATTACCACACTAAGCTTGTAACGATCTTTCAATGCATAAGTAACTGAAACACGAAGATCACCAGGAAATCCTACAAATGAAAGCAATGGATTTGGTTATTTATAGGATTCTTCAACATTGAAAGTTATATTTGCAGTGTGGTATCAGTACGAAACCAAGACTCGCCTTCTTCACCATCAGCACTACTGTAGGTTAAAGTTATATGAGGATGTGAACCATGTCGCTCGTGTTTGCTCACCTTCCAAACAACATTGCTAAATCCTTTAGGGCCGCCTGTATATCAAATTTTTGTATCAAGAAAAGAGAAAGCAAAGTAGTGTAAATGGAGGTGAAAGTTGAAGAGAAAGCAAGTAAAAGAGTACCATGCAATGTGTTATTGCCATTATTGGCGATGAGCTTATAAAGGGTTCCATTCAAAGTAAATTGAGCACCACCAATTCGGTTAGCAACTCTTCCAACTATTGCTCCAAAATAATTTGTATCATTCTGCACAAAGGTATTTTCATATTTGTTTATGACTATGAAGATTTGAAAAGTATCAGGAGGCTAATTCCATATTCACATCCATTGGTTCTTGGAAAGAATTTCAAAACTGAACACATTTTATGCCCTTATTAACTTAGAATGCAACATTATTAAGTTCACAATCCTCCATCATGTGTAACCCTATTTTAGAATTCACATGCGAAACTTGTTAAAATTAATGAGCTTTTCAAATGTTAGTCGTGTGAGATAGTCCATCAGACTTAAATATTGTTGTTTGCGAATAAAGTCTCACATTGAAAGTTAATTAAAAGAAACAACATATAAGGTGTAATGATACTCTTAATGGTGTGAAGCATTTTGGAGAAAATCGTGTTTGTTATCATATCATGTTAAGAGCAAATTCAAATAGATCCATTCAAATGAAACAAAGTGAACTAACCTTGTATTCCTTGATGGTGTCATATCCAAGAACAACATCACCTATTTTTCCTGGAAGGGAGCAAAACAAGATAGGACTGATTTCTCATAGGAATAGCAGAAAACAAGAAAAGATGTTAAAGTTGGAACATATTTTCCAAAATATGGGATTAATTAAGGTAAAAGTCAGACGTACCATTCTTATCAGGAACAAGAACAGAGACGATTCTAGCACCATAATTAGTGACTTTAACAGAGAAATCTCCTTTCTTGATCTCATAGATCCGTATCTTGCGCCCAGTTACACTAGCAGCACCCCACAGATGAAGAATGAACAAACATATCAACAAACTACTAACCTTTGAAGACATAATCAACTCCAGTGTTTTTGAGACTTAGATAGAGTGCCTTATTGGTAGCTTGAATATGTGCACTCTTCCTTTATCCTATGGCCTTATTATGGAAAGATTTTTAACTGCATGTGCACAAAATAGAACTCGTCAACCAATAATCTGTGTGGAAATTGGATAAATTCGTACAAAATCGCAATGATGAGTATTAGTACTAGTTATTATTACATGCAGAAGTAGCCGTTTGTGTTGACTTGTAAACAGAATACCTTCAACTTCAAGATATACAGAACCTCATGGTCGATATGAAGGTTTGGATTGCATTACGTAATCTTTATTGAGCTATGGAAAAAAAATTAGATAATTAATTTAGAAATACTTGAGTAAAAAGAAGAGATTCAAATAGAACATAAGTGAAGTGTTTTCTCTTGAATTTTTTTTGAACAGTTAAAGAAAATTATTGAAGGAGAAGCAGGATTTAGCTATTTAAGGAGAGAAGCCGTTTCTGATTTTAAGTGTTGTCAGGTTATTATTTAAGGAGAAGCAGTTTCTGATTTTGAATGGTAATTACTCCCTTACATTTATTGCATTTCTGATAGTTTTATTTTGACTGTTCATTCTCAAATAAAAGCTGGCTGGCTAGTGCACAATTTCAATTCTCATTGTCTACTTTTGGCTAACTTCAATGTATATCCATATTAATGAGCTTCATTTTAGCCATATTAACCACCAATTACTTATTAGCAGATTGATAAGTCATGGCAGACTTGTGTTCAAACATAAACAGAATAATGAGAAAAGAACAATACTGTTGTCGGAAAATATGAGTGGAGTCACCATCTATGACTAATTGTGCGAGTAAAATCGGCACATTTGACATTCTTGACAGGAATGGATATGTAACACCCCAAACTTTAGACAATTCCACATCGGCAAAACACAAGAGAAATGTTGTGTATATAAGCTAACAAGCCTTAAACCATAGTGACGCGTTTTAAACGAGTACCCAGACCCAGAGCGGACAATATCACTAGCGGGCTGGGCTGTTACAGATAGTATCAGAGTCACTCTTGTGTCAGCTTTGCCAATCCTACCTACTGGTTGTTCTACCTTAAAGTCGTGGAACCTTCGTTTTGCTCTATATGAGATTGGAATATTTTCCGAGGCGGTAGCTGATACCCTCTTCTGTGTAGGTTATAACTTATGCAGAGGTAATACTTGTGTCACATTAGAATCACATTAAATAACAAAGCAAAACTTTACGAGACAGATGACAGCCAAATGTTGTTATCCGGGGATACTATGTCAAAGCATATGGGACTAATAGTGCCAATAAAAGAATTAAAAGAAAAGATAAAGAATATATCACAAGAATCCTGTTAAACAAAACAGTCTCGAGGTCTACAACCAACTATACAATCCCTGCAAACACCCCCAGTAATACTAATGGAAACACGAAATATGCTATGATATCATATCAAACAACAGTTATTCGGAATTTGCAGTTTAAAGTCTACAGAAAATAGCGAAAGATCCAATTGATGTCGTCAACACATGCAGTACTAAAGTTCCTCGAGCAAGCAGAATGTTGAACTCATCTCTTCCAACCAGGGTGAAGCACCTTTTCTGAAGAGGGAGCCAGAAGGTAATCATTGAGTCAGTGAAGTTTTCAAGTTGATGAAAGTAAATGAGCTTGTAACTATCAATTCTGAGATGATCTAAGAGAACCATTTATTAAAAGATAAAGAGCGCAAACAAAACAAGAAAACACACTATCACAATGAAGGACGCAACTAATGCCAGGTCATTATTTACATATGAAAGTGCTTTGACATATAGAATGGTACTAGAATCATGCATTTACTTTTCTGATTAGTTACTTGAGAAAAAACAAGATATATATGCCTTTCTTATTTATTTAATTCTTAAAAAAACAAAAGATTAAGCATACTTTTCTTGGCTTAATTAAAAAGTTCCCACAAAAAAAAATTTCAAAGCAACACAAAATAAAGAAGGCCCAACAAAGAAAACTCACATCAACCTACGGGAATTTCATTACATACCCCAGCTATTGGAAACAAAACAATCATCTCAGATAGCAAGAAACATGTGACAAGATCAACTTGTAACTACAATGTCCCTATTCATTGCTTCTTACCATCTTTAGAAGATGACATTGGTCTGTTCTTATTTCCACCTTTTCCATTAGCTTGCATTGGCCTTTGCACTCGAGGTGACGACGTGTTCAATTTGCCATTGGTAGAGGATGGTAGAGAATGACGCCGAACAAAACCATTTTCAGCTCCATCTTCACTTACCTTAGCAGATCCTTGAGCTTTAAGCTTCGCCTTAGCAGATTGAGTGGCAGCCATATAACTAGGCACGTTTGCTGTATTCTGTGAAATATTCTCAGAATTCTCCTGCTTGGTGGGAAGAGATTTCCTCCTCCTAGTTCTTTCTTTGGCAGTGTGATCTTCCATCGAGCTAAGCTCCTCGTTGACGACTGGGCTGTTTGCAGTGTTCCCAACATCCTCCAATTGCTGTTGCTCAGTGGTAGGATGATCAAGCAGTTCATTACTTGGTTCATCCACTGCTACAGGTAAAGGAGCTTCAGTTACAGCCAATTTCTCAATTTCAGGAGCTGAATCACTCGTTTTCTCAGAAGAATTAACCACCATTTGTTCAACATCTGGAGCTGAGGATTTTGATGTTTTAGCTTGAGCTTGAGCCTGAGCCAGATTAGGAGTTTGTTGTACCTTCTCAGTTTCTGTTTCCGACCTTTCTGAAGGTGTTGCCAAAGCTGCAGAAACTTTTCTTAAATTGCGCTTGACTTTCTCAAGTTCATTTTGAGGCTGATCTGGCACTGGCTCTATGTGAGGATGTGAGAATTTCCTTGGGTTACGTTTAGCTTTTTCTGGTTCAGAAGAACTTACAGCATAAGCATCTCCATTTGCTGATGTAAGAACCTTCTTGACACTTCGTTTTGATCTTACTACTTCTGTTTCAACACTCTGCTTGTTACCCTGTTTCTTCTGCGACTTTGCTTCAACAACTTTCTTTGGTTGTGGAAGTGGTTCCCAAAACCGAGATAGTGACCATCGTTCAAGCCATTGCCAAGCTGAATTAGGTTCACACTCATCATACTGAAGGCTCAAGGGCATGGCTGTTGGCACTGCCATAAGTAGCTAAAACAAGACAAGAGATTACCATCAAATACAGAATTTTGTCTACATCATAAAAATAATAAGAATTACTTCACAGTCCCAAATGGTTGGATTATTACTATTTGAGTCAAACTGTTCCAAAATGATCTATTCAAATATTTTTGTTTAGAAAAGATTGTCATTTAATACTTTTCATGCAATTCCCAGATACGTAAATTATACTCCAAAATTACTAAAAAATGTTCGATATCATACTAAACATTTGATGAGTTGACTCTCGTACTCTAAACACCGCCATTCTTTTTGAGACGGAGGGAATGATATATCTGTTCCAATTTCCTATGTTGATTTTCTGACCTTCACATCAACTTTAGGTAGTAAACGGATATCCATTAGATATTTGTGATACACATACTACAGGTCAGGCTTCGTCATTCAAATCAACATTCTCCTTTGTAGTGCCGCACATCTAGCATAGTCACTCTACTGAGGCATTAAAGATGAATTTACTACCACATTTGTTCAACTTTCTCAGAAATAATAGTACAAAGGAACAACTTCAGCAAAAGATTAATGCAAAATGTTACAGATCAGATAAGAATCATTCTGCAGCCACATTGCAGTAAATGAAACCAATGATGCCAAAAATCAGTAACACTTTTGCACTCTGGATATATAGATGTTGAACCTGTATCAGAGAAACCAGACTTTCTGACCTTCTAAGATGCATCCCTGCAGTTTTACTAATCTTCCCTCACCCCCTAATTTCATTACACATTGGGGACATTTCCAGGTTCTTAGATAAAACTCAATCACTTCCCAGACCCATCTCCTTGTACGTGGTTTTCTCTATTTTGGCACCTCCCTGACCCATCTTCAACCATTAAACCACCCAAAAGTAAAAGGATAAAGCAACATTTTCATTTTCTAACTCAAACCAAATATATTATCAGCCACACAGGTCTGCAACTCGACGCCAATCTAGGGCCAAAAGGGGAAAAAGAAGAGAAATAATACCTAACAGGAAAACCCTGTAATACAACAAAAACTTGTCAGTTAACAACGGCGCAGGGAGGTCAACAATACCTTGTGTGGAAATGCATTAGCTGTCAGTTTTGAAGGCCTCTGCTCAGGATTCTGGTTAAACAAAGAACACATGGAACACAGAGTCAATAGCCAAAACAATTTGTACCAACATGAATAAGTTCAAAATAGATACTACAATCTGTCAAAGCTGACAAGATGGGAAAAGAAAAGCAGTAGCAGATACTCGTCTTATATTATAACAAAAGTCAAAAAAACATTTGATGTAAACAAATCCAAACTTTCTTTCTTATTACTTTCCACTTCCATTTTCCTGATTGTCCAATTTTATGTGCACTTCCTCTTTTGGATTGTCCCAAGTGTTTGACACACTATAAAACCATGAAAATCAATTACATTATTCTTCGCCTTTAATAGTTTGTGCGCATTGATAATTTACATATAGATATGGATGTGATGTTTTTCAATCAAACTATACGAGCTATACTTCTTCTATCACTAAAGTGTTACAGGTTAGTTAAACTCGCTACGAGAATAATATTGAAGTCAACCTAACTCCTCATATATCCTAATAAATATCAACTCCATCTTGTTCTTATGCCTATGCTTTTATAAGCGGGAAAAAAAAGGAACTAGAATACAAGCAAGCAAGGGGAAGAAAAGCATCATAGATTGTATTGCAAGAGTTACCTTAAGTTCTCCAAAACTATACTTTCTAACCAGCTGATGCCCAGAATGTAAGAGTCTAACACTTTGACCACGAGCTAATGCCTGAATCCTGACAATTGCCTGCATGCAGCGTAGAGTAGCAACTGCCTGCCTCCTAACCAAGTGCCCACGAATAAGTGCTTGTAGCCTTATGATACCTTTGAGAGCTCGAAAAGCACGACGAGCCTGAGGAAAGATACCAGTGGATAAGGACATAGCACAAAGAACAATTGAAAGGTGGATCATGCTTTGAAATTAGAAAAGGGAGAAACACCGAAGCTTCTTCAGTTTTTAAGTCCAACTAGTGCGTTTTACCTAAAGCTATGCATTTGTAAAGAATTTATGCTGGTTTGCAAAAAATGACAATTGACTATTTGACTTAACAGAAAAGGCTCCAAATCTAATGCAGAATTAATTTACACAAGCAGATAATTAGGAACCCTAGTGCCACACAAGCAATGTCTTTGTAGAGGATCACATAACTTCTACTGCCTCAATTAAGCAGAAACAAGGGCTCTAAACTCCTACAGATTTTAGACATTATGCACATAAACATTCAAACTGTTCCGCAATCTAGAGGGACACGATCCATTAGAGTGAATACCTAAAATCTTAATTCAGAACTGAATATCAAATTAAACTCTTAATAGACCGTACGGACTTTCTTTAGAGATCAAAGCTGTAAATTCTGCTATTAAACAGTACCAAGTAACCCCTAAAGGCTGCTTGTGCTTTGGTGGCAGCATGCTCTAGCCTTTCCAGCTCAGCATCATCTGTGGAAATTTCCCCCTTAACATGCGGATCTGTTTCGTGTGTTGCAGAAGATAATGAGGCGGTTTCACATGCAAAGTCAGTGCTTGTCCCCTTTTCCAATCCAGCCTGATCACACTCACCACCACCATCCAAATTCTGAACTGGTGGATCCAAAGTTGGTGAATTCAGAGCTAGATCCCCCAATGGTGCTTTTGCAGACGATTTTTTCTCACCCGTAACATCCTTCATACAAAACATAGATTAAGATAGCAGATACCTCTAAGTAACTTAATAACATAGAGTAACAAAATTAAAAAGAATCTTCAGCAGCAAAGAGAATTTCGGAGGAAATTTGTAAAATGGCATCAAACTACTTGAGTTAATAAGGAATAATGATGCAAGACATGCAGCTGAGCTAATTTCCAAAATCTACTTAGTATGACATGAGAGTGATGCATTTGCACTGCAACTCTCACTTACACCTAAGTAGGGTGAGAGAGAGAAAGGCGGAATTGAACTCATTTTCCTTTGATTGCTAATTAAGAAACAGAAGTGCCAAATTGCTGAAACCAGATCGAACCAAACACGAGAAGTACAATTTTCATAAATTCTCTGTAATGCTGTAGAATTATGACATAATAAAAAATACTCTGTTATACCTTAGTTAAATGAGACTTGGATGATTTCTTGCCAAAAAGCACAGCCTTGATCCATTTGGCCGGAGATTTCCCCATCGCAAACAGCAAGCCGCTCACCTAAAGTGGATTTCAACTGAATCCTGCACTATTCAATTAAAAAAAACAACTTCTCCTTAAAACAAGTAAAACGTGTGCACTAGATCTGAGCTAAAACCACAAGAAAAAAGCAAATTGATAATTGAAGGCATGCAAAATTAAAGAGAAAACAAAAATGTGGAGTAGGGTTTAGAGAGCAAATGTAGGTCAGATCTGAGAAGTACCTGATGAATTGGAAGCTGCTTTTAAGATCCCAAACTTAGCATAGCTGAATTGAAAGTAAAAATTCCAGAGAGAGTGAGCTACAGAGAAATAACAGAAATCAGGTAAAAGATTGATTGAGCTGAAAGCTAAAAGGAAAAAAGAAAATGCAGCTGCTAACAAATGAGCAGGCCCATTAGGCCATAGCCATCCATACCTTGTGGAAGATGGACCCCTCCACCGCCTCTCTCTTACTTCTCTCTCTCTCTCTCTCTCTCTCTCTCTCTGGAATTGGATTCTGTGAGTAGTAGTGAATAGTGGACTGGTACATATACGATTGAGTACAACTGTATACTGTAGTTGTTGTTATACTGTCGCTTTTAGTAAAGTTGGTGATTTCCTGCTAATCTACTTTTGAAATTTTCATTAAATCACACGTCGTCGTTTGAGGAAAATATCCTGTATTATGAGTTCTTTAGATGCACCTAAACTCATCATGATTATAAATTAGAGTAGTGTTAAACTACCTAAACCAAACCAAATCCTGTCAACATTCAACAGTCACTTCTTTCTTTGTTTTTGATTTATTCCTTTTTCAAAATGAAAGAAAACAAGTCTTCATGTGACATTTCATTAGTTAAGGTGTCACATTTTAAACAGTAATGTGATCATTTGAATTTCAATACTTTTGTCATTCCGACAGTTTGGATTGGAGATGAAATTTTTGGTTTGTATTTTCCGTTTTCGGATTGAAAAATTGACTGTCCAAACTCAATCGAAATAAATTCGAATTAGACCGAATTTTCTAAATTCGGATTAATCAATTTGGATATTTTGGATTTTCGGTTTTGATCTTATAAGTTGAGATGTTTCTTCTCCTTCTTCTTCTTCTTACGATAATAATATCCAAATGAAGTATTCATGTTAAATTTGCCCAAAAAGTTCCCCATTCTCACCACAATCATCCAAACAAAGACATTAGTAAGGCCGATAAGAAGTAGCAATAGTAAAATCATTACCAAATGGAGTATTCTGATAGTAACTTAATATAATTAGTGGGTGCCTGGACATAAGAGATTAGTAAGGCCGATAAGAAGTAGCAATAGTAAAATCATTACCAAATGGAGTATTCTGATAGTAACTTAATATAATTAGTGGGCGCCTGGACATAAGAATTGTAAAATTCCAACAAAAAAATATATAAAAAAAAAAAAATATATATATATATATATATATATATTTATTTATTTATTTATTTAAAGTCTATTTTTCTAGTGTTTCTTAGATACAAAGTTATTAATTGCTTTGTTACAATCAACAACTTCTAATAAGTGTTTCTTAATTGACAATATAGCTAATCTATTTAACCTTTATGGAGACATTGTTGATCTTAGGTGAGATTTTATCAATTATAATTTTGATTTTTTTTTTTTGCTGAAACGACGGAAACAATAGTTATTAACATTATTCCATGAGTATTATAGATATTGGAAAAAGAATCAATTTTTTTTATTTGACCGAGTGTATCAATTAAACTGTTATCTTCTAATTGTACTATTTTTCTTAATGTTTTTAACTCTGAAAAAATAAATCTATACCATCAATATCGAATTGATTATTTTGCTTTAAGGAACATTCAACATTAAGGCAATATTTTTGTCAAATTTTTATCATCTACTGATCTTAATTTTTACCGCTAGATAGAAAATTAAAAATATTTTCATATGCTTCGAATTGTTCAAATTTATTTTGAAGTGAAAAAAATATCGTTGTCTACTATGTATAAAGTAATCAACTCCAAAGTATTCTTTGAAAGATTTTGAGATTTTATTATCAACATTCTCATCAAATTGTTATTTCCTATATATCATACGTTTCATACAAAATTCGGGTTCGATATTCATTTCAAGTATAATTTTCTTGGCAGAAATCATAGCAGTTGCAAATCCTTCTTCTCTATACTTGTTAAAGAAAGAAATCAAACTTTTCACTTCACACAATCTTTTTTAAAACTTATACACATCATACTAGGTGTAACAAAACATGTGGGGCCTAAAGCAGTTGCTTTACTTGTTTATGAAAGGATCGCCCCTGCTGTTAAGGTATGTTATATAGTTCCAAATCAATTAGAGTTGACTATATAATTTGCACTATTACTTGTGGTTCATTTGAACTCATTTCAATCTGTTATTTAATCGTTTAATACTTTCTTAATTTGAAGGTCATGATTAATTGGGAGAAATTTAAAAATAGCCAAATTTACAAGTGGTAGTTCAAAAATAGCCCAGTTTCAAAAGTAATCGAAATTTAGCCACTTTTCATGTAAAGATAAATCTGAGCGAAAGCACTGTTCAAAATCCGGAAAATACGCCAGTATATTATGCTGGAGTTCCAGCATAAGTATACTTGAATTCCAGCATATTATACTGGAGTTCCAGGATAAGTATGCTGGAACTCCAACATAATATGATGGAGTTCCAGCATAAGTCACTAGAACTCTAGCATAATATACTGGAGTTCCACCAAAGTATACCGGTCCAGTATAATATGCTGGAAGTTCATACACAAGTGCTCGAATCTCCAGTATATTATGCTGGAACTTTCCGTGTGTTGGAGTTCCAGCATAATATGCTGGAAGTTCATACACAGGTGTACCGAACTCCAGTATATTATGCTGGATCGGTCTCTGTTGCAGCAAAATAGTGGTTATTCTTCATTGACTTGGTAAACGCTGGCTATTTTTGAATTACCAGTTCGAAAACTGGCTAGACCGTACTATTTTTACTGATTAATTAGTTTCAATTTATTGCAATCTTCTTCCTTTTAATAATACGAGCCCATATCAAAATAAACAGCGGACCAAATATCTATTTTTCTTTTCTTTTCAACGCGGACCAAATATCATTTCCCCTTAACCCTGCAGTACACAGTGCACACCAATTTTTCCCGCCCAAAATTCTTGGTACCCAAATTCCCACCACACGCGCCGCCGTCGGTGAAAGCGAAAAGCCTCTCCCGACGTGGGAAAATCCGATGGAGGGCAACGGTCACAGCAAAGAACTGGCGGCGTATTTGCTAAAGAACCACTCGGAGCAGCTGAGTTCCATTATTCTCTCTCCTGATCCTCGACTTCACTATCCCCTCCTTGTCGAGTAAGCAACACTACAGTATACTTCGCATCTGCCTCCACAAAAATTCTGCTAACGAGTTTGGTTTTTTGAAACAGTTTTGCAGAGATAATGGATGATAATCCAACCCTTTCTCAGTTCATTTTCGCTAAACCCACAGAATATTTACCCCTTTTTGATGAAGCTGCCGTCTGGGCTCAGGTATATTACTTTACCCTCTTGTTCAAAATTCTGTATACTTAGATTAGTAGTCTACATAATCAGTGGTTTTTTGTCTTTGTGTAGAAAGTTATTTTGGCAGATCTTAAACAACATGAAAACGCAAGCCTCAAGGACAACATACATGTTCGTATCAACATCAGTGGTTCTCCTCTTGAATGCCCTGGTTTGTTCCTTTTTTATCCCTTTATTTATCTTCGTATTATTTTTGTTGGATTTAAGCTATATGGACGATATTTTAAAGATTCTTCTATATTGTTTGTGTAGTTTAGCCGGTTGTAGAGGTTACCAGGGTGAATTTAGAGTTCAACTTATGAGTTCATCTGGACCTAGTAGCTTTGTTTCGGACCTGTATATGTGTTTAAAAAATTTAGTAAATAAGTACGAATAATTGGTTGCAAATCCAGTAAATTAAATGAGTTGTGGTAGATTCCAAACTCGAACCCATAAAGCTTAAATCCTTGATCCAACGGAGGTTACATATCTTATTTTCCATATTACCGCCCCATGCTTGCTATAGACAATTACTTGTAGTTGGGGGGTTTGAACAACTTGATAGTGTTTATCAAAAATCTTCTACACCATCAATGTAGATAAAATAAACCCGTTATTGTTTAGGATTTAAATTATCTTACTGAGCGATAAGTAAAATATGTCATGTAAATTAAAACAAAGGAAATACTATTTAAGTAGATAATGATAAAGTAATAGGTTAATTATTTACCGAGTTTGGAATCATATATTGCTGGTCCTCGAATTTCTCAGCCGACGAACGAAAAAATAATTTGCTTTTGACTGATAAAGAAGATGAAGGGGTGAATTTCTCATGTGGAATTTTCATGTAGAGAACATTTACACTATTTTAACTGGTTATGACATGTTACAGCCTTAATTACCATTCAACCTCACTTTGGACAAGTACCTGTAATGGGCTTCCAAGCAACATGATAGTGTGAAGAAATTTTATACTACCCGCCACGTCATCATGCCACATACGCACCATTTGGCATATGTTAATGCCATGTGGAAGCTTACATAGGAGGAAGGCTAGCATTTGTGAGAAGATTTTAGAGAAGTATGGACATTTCCATTGGAAGACCCTACATCCCTATGGATTTGCTAGGAAAGTCCTTGGAATCTTCTAGGCTTGTAGAGAATTCTAGAAAAAGTCCTTATCTTGTAAATATTAATGACTTGTGTAATAATTAATATTTACTAGGGGTGTGCATTCGAATCGGTTTATCGATAAATCGAATCGATTATTTGTTATCGAAATCGAAATCGAAAAAATCGAAACCTTATTGAAATGATAACGATAAGCATATGTACAAATCGATAATCGATAAGTAATTATCGATAAGGGTCAAAATCGAATCGATAAATCGAATGCACAATGCACATCCCTTGACTGTAGACACTTGTTAAATGAGTAATTACCTATTTGTGTAGATTAATATAACATACAGAATGTATATATATACCGCTACTATTTTGAAAGCGGCTATACAATATTATTTTCCCTAATCTATACCCTTTCCTTTACCCTAAGTCCCTTACCTTATTATTTTCTTTACCACATTTAAGGAATGATCATATTTAAAGATCAAGGGAATGAAGTTCAAATTAATGGAAAACTGAATTAGCCGTGATGATGTGTTTTGTTTTGTTTTGTTTTTTTTATACCGTTGGAGTGTTGATGGCATACATTTGATCCCTTACTTTAGTTTTGTTGCATGTGCTTGTTGACACAATTTTTATATTATAAATGGTGTTCGTCTTATTTTAGCTTCTTTTTGTCCATATTAGTTAGGCGCGTTTATAGCGATATACTTTCCGTGGAATCCCGCAAATTTTCTTATTGGGGTAATCGATAACCGAATCGACAAGCCCCCAAAATCGATAAATCGAAATCGAAAAAATCGAAACCTTATTGAAACGATAACGATAAGCATATGTACAAATCGATAATTGATAAGTAATTATCGATAAGGGTCAAAATCGAATCGATAAATCGAATGCACACCCCTAATATTTACACACTAGCCCCTAGGAGACTAGTATATAAAGGGGCCCATTTATTTGTAATTCACCAAGCAAACAATTCAAGTTCTCTTTAATACAAAGCTTCTTTTAGCAATTCTCTTGTGTTCTTTCTAACATTCCCTTAGCGATCTTGAGTGTAGCAAGGCTGACTTGGCATAGCAAGAACGTGAGCAAGTTGTGCAAGATTGTGAGCGAGTTGTCAAGTGCCACACGTGTACTTAGCTAACGACTAAGGACGTGACAATGTGGTATCAGAGCAAATGTTGCAACTAAGGGAATGACGAACAATGGAGAAATTAACGCTGCCAACACCCAAGCCAACGTCATCCAGGATGCTGTTGGCAATAAGGGCCATAACAAAAAGAGGAATGCCACCAAGAAGAGCCAGGAGGTGCCACCTGAGGTTGTGTCCAACGAAAGACTTATATCCCAAGAACCATCTGCCACTGAGGCGAGCGAGGATGAAGTGAAGGTCCTGCCTGAGGATGTCTCGCTCGGTAAAGAGTGGGTGATGAAGATGAACGCGGGGATGGACGCCATGGAGATCTTTGGCCAACGCTTGGGGAAGGTGGAAGGCACCCTTAGCGTTCTTGAGGGGCACACTCTTGAAGAGATTGAGAGTATCCGAAATGACTTGGAGGGATGTACACAGACCGAGATAGAACTAAGGCAAACCATCACTGCCTTGGAGTGCAGACTCATGGAGGCTTTGAGTACTATCGATGCTATGAAAACAAAGATAGATTCACTCGAGGAGCATGTTGATGCTGGCGTGACCGAGGCAACCAGCAATGTTGTGGTGACGAGGGAGGCCAAGATCGAGGCTCCCAAACCCCTGGTGTTCAAAGGTGTCCGTGATGCACAGAAGTGGAAAACTTCCTTTGGCACTTGGAGATCTACTTCAGGCATGGCAAAGTGAGTGGCGACGAGGCCAAGATCAACACTGCGGTGTTGTACCTCTCAGAAACTGCCATGCTATGGCGGAGAAGAAAGATGACCGACGTGGATAAAGGTCTATGTACTATTAGCACGTGGGATCAATTCAAAGCTGAGTTCAAGCAACAGTTCTTTCTAAACAATGTCTTGTACGATGCAAAGTGCAAGCTTATGGAGTTGAAGCAAACATAGAGCACACGTGACTATGTCAAGGAGTTCATTACCCTTATGCTTCAAATCCCCAACCTGACCAATGACAACTTGTTGTTCCACTTCATGGACGGGTTGCAAAATTAGGCTAAACAGGAGTTGCAACACCGGCAAGTCGCGGATATAGACCAAGCCATAATGGAGACTGAATCATTGATAGATTTCAGGCATGACAAGCACGACAAAGGCGAAGGCAAGAAGTCAAAGGTTAATAATGTCAAAGGCGGGGGAGACCGTGGCAAAGGCAAGGAGATATAACAACAATACTCCAAGACTCAAGATTCCAAAAAGTCAAGTGGTCGTCAAGGCTACGCTGAGAAGAAGACGCAGGCCGAGAAAAAGGGATGCTATATGCGGAGGGCCGCACGGCTTCAGGAATTGTCCCAACCTCAAGAGCCTCAGTGCCATGGTTCGTGAACGGAAGGAGCAGCCACAAGGAAAGAGTTCAGAAACCGCACAGTTGGGTATGATCGGATTATGTGGTGCTGTCTCGAAGCAAGCTATCCAACCTATCGAGAATGGCAATCAGTACGTGGATTTCACCATCAACAACAATTCCGCTCGTGCAATGGTGGATACTGGAGCAACTCATAATTTCGTGACTAGGCTGCCACAAAGAGACTAGAATTGAAGCTTGCTCCAACCAACTCTCGCGTCAAGACTGTGAATGCCGAGGTACAAAATGCTCGTGGGTAGCTAATGGAGTTGGTGTCAAATTGGGAACTTGGAAAGGTATGACGAACTTTACTGTAACCGCTATGGATATCTTTGACATCATACTGAGGCAAGAGTTCTTTAGACATTGTCATACTTTGATCGAACCCTACCTCCAACGTTTCTTGGTTATGGATCGAGAAGGAGAAGGAGCTTGCATGGTACCTATAGTGACTATGCCATACGGACAGAGCCAAGCACAACTCTCAACTATGCAGGTTGTCAAGGGGATCAAGAAGGGGGAGCCGACATTCGTGGCAACCATTGCTAGTCTGGAGGAAGACAAGGGTTTTCAAGGGACACTGCCGCCTTAAATAGAGAAGTTGCTTGAGGAAAACAAAGATGTCATGCCCGAGGAGTTGCCTAAGCACTTGCCGCCTAGGCGAGAGGTGGATCACAAGATTGAGTTGAAGCCAGGGGCTAAGCCACCCGCATTTGCCCTATATTGTATGGCACCGCCCGAGCTAGACGAGCTCAGGAAACAATTGAAAGAGTTGCTAGATGTTGGTCACATTCACCTATCAAAGGCACCTTTCGGCGGGCCAGTATTGTTCCAGAAGAAGAAGGACTACCGTGCACTTAATAAAGTAACAGTGTAGAATAAGTACCCGACCCCGCTCATTGTTGACTTGTTCGATAGACTTGGGCAAGCCAAGTACTTTACTAAGGTGGATCTTTGCAAGGGCTACTACTATGTTCGCATTGCGGAAGGGGATGAGCCAAAGACAGCATATGTGACGAGATATAGAGCCTTTGAGTGGTTGGTGATGCCCTTCGGCTTAACCAATACACCGGCCACATTTTGCACCCTTATGAATAAGATTTTCCATCCCTTTCGTGGTAGTCTACCTAGACGACATATTCATCTACAACAACACCTTGGAGGAGCACATAAAGCACTTAAAGAAGGTTTTTCAAGTCTTGTGGGAGAACGAGCTATACTTCAACAGGGAGAAATGCGAGTTTGCATAATCAAAGGTGCACATCTTAGGCCATGTCATTAGCAATGGCGAGCTACGCATGGATGAGGCTAAGGTACGTGCTATCCAGGAGTGGGAGGCACATATAAAGGTAACTGAGTTGAGATCCTTCCTTGGCCTTGTTAACTACTATCGTCGGTTCATCAGCCGCTACTCAGCCAAGGCCACACTATTTACTGAGTTGCTAAAGAAGAACAAGCCATGAGTTTGGACGGAACATTGTCAAAAGGCGTTTGAAGTCCTTAAGGTAGCTGTAATAGAGGAGCCAGTCTTGGCATTACCT